AAAAATGACAGGTTTTTTTTTTTTTTTTTTTTTTTTTTGGTACTAGGGATTGAACTCGGAACTTGCACTTTCCAGGCAGGCAGCAGCACCACTGAGCTACATCCCCGGCCTGCCAGATGATTATTCATGATATCTGGCACTGAGTTTGCAGATGTATGCTTAGAAAAGGCTTTCTAAAGTTTAGATTTCTTTGCTTTATTTTATCTTTTTATATCTTTGTGGGTCAGGGAATAGAAGGCCAAGGTGATTGCCTTCAAAGCAGTCTGCGAAAGTGGACAATCATTGGAATGATGTCCCCACAGAAGGGGCACATTGGCCACCAAGTGATGAGTGGCTTGTCGCTGTCAGACCACAGTCAAGTGGGTAAAATAACCATGCCAGAAGCTCTAATGTCAAAGGCAGTACAAAAAGAAGCAATAGGAAGTTGCAGCTTTTTGAGAAAAGGTATGCGCTGATAGCTTAGAAATCCTGGCAGCTTTGATAGATAGCTAAGGAAGAGTTTCTTCAAGTTGTTCAACTGAAAGATTCTTATGTTCACTTTTATTTTGAGGTCTATTTGAAAGGAAAAACAACTATGAAGGAAAGATGAAGATTAAATACCTCCCTAAACTCAGAAAAAGAGATTGTCCTATCCTGTCTGTGTTTCTTAACCAGGTGGACCAAAGGGAACAGGATCTTGGACAAATGGCTTCAGCGGCACACGGGTGGCCTCTCTCTAGTCCTGCTTCATAGGATGGCAATCTCCTCTCCCTCAGCCTGACTGGCCTAGACACATTGCATCTGACTTTCTACCATTCGCAGAAGCCTTTCTCAATAACAGACTTTCTCTATGATTTCCCCTGAACATTTGGCTCTTAAATGTGCATGTATGTTATGGTCGCCAATCACATTCTGCCAGATGCATTATTCATACTGTGAAATGCCCACTTGATTGGGTTCTTCCTCTCTGCTCATGTCCCTGCAGTCCCCTGAACAGGACTGAATACATAATGAACTACCAAGTTTTATGACCCCCAGTGATCAGCAAGCCTTGGTTTATGAAGAGGATGAGAATTGAAGACCAGCCGCAGGCTGAGCACAGCGGGGCTCTTGGCCAGCAATGGCAAAGGAACAGCTTCTGTGCAAAAGCATTTTGTTGTAAACTCTTGCTTTCTTTTCTCTTTCGCACAAAATATATCTGTTACATTCATTTGTTCTCCCATAGAACACACAACTTTGCTAATTAAAAAAAATGAAATGTTTCCATTTAGCAGAGGACACTCTGGGCCTGGTTTCGAAGTGCACAAGAGGTAGAAAGACCCTGAGGGCCAGGTGGCTTGTGTGTCAGGTCTGCCTGTAATTAGCTATGGGGTTCTATATAAGGCACACTCCGCAGGGAGTTCAGTTGCTCCATCTTTAAAATGGACAGACCAAGCTATCACCCATCACAGAGTTCGGAGCCTGAGTCTAGTTTCATGGGTAGTGACTACATGCATTTCTGTGGCAGGAGATGCACTAAGTCTGCCTGAAGTCAGGTGCTCCACAGAGGTGACTCAAATGGAAAAGCCAATGGAGCAGATTTGTAGGAAAGACATTTTGGCAATGGAGTGGGGCTGGGAGAAGGATCTGTTGCCAGGGTGACGATGGTGAGCAATGGTGTGATTGGCAAACTACAACCCATAGCCAAGTTCAGCCCACCCTCTGTTTTTGTAAATGAAGCTTTGTTTGTACACAGCCAAGAGCACTTTTCCACACAATGCCTATGGCTGCATTTGTGCCACAATGGCAGAGTTGAATAGTTGAGGCAGAAACCTGTCCAGCCCTCTACAGAACACATTTTCTTAGTGTGCCTGGATGGGGCACACTATCTTCTTGTTAGAGACCTTGCTCCTAAAACATGAAGTCAAGTTCTTACTACAAAGCCACTGTGGACCTGCTGTAAAGGTGGGAGAACAGCCACACCATACTCACAAAGGATGACCAGCCCCCATTGTCCTCTTCATGGTTTTCTGTGAAAGCAAATAATACCATCATCAGTAGAGAAGCTGTCACTCAGAGAAAAGTCAAAGAAATTTCTCCATCTTATGCCCTACCCAAGACCTTCCTCCTCCTGCCTTCTACATACCTGGAATCAGCAACTGCTCTGCTAGGGTTTGGATATGACTTGCCCCACCAGAACTTGTGTTGAAATTTGATTCCTAATGTAATGGTATTGAGAGGTAGTGGTAGAAACTTTACAAAATAATTAGGCTCTGGGGGCTTCACTCCCATGAACAAAATAACATCTTTCTCCAGATACTAGATTAGATCTCTCAAGACTGAAATGGATCTTACAGGAATGCTTTGGGTCACATGGGACTGGATTACTTATTTCAAGAGGCACTGTTTTGGTCACTTCCACACACGATTTTTTGCTACTGTTGTGCGTGTGACTTCACTGCATGATGTCATCTGCCATGAAGCCCTCACCAGAAGCTGAGCAATTGCCAGCACCATGGTTTTGCCTTGAGCATTGGCCACCATTTAAAAAGTAACCAGCCTCAGGTATTTTATTGTAGTAACAGAAAACAGACTAAGATAGCAACTTAACTATTAACCATAGCATTCTATCTGAGGAACCTATTCTACTAAAGGGCAATTGTGGTTCTTAATCTTTCCTATGTATAAAAGTCACCTAGGGGGGCCAGGGATTTAGATCAGCGGTGCCACACCTGCCTCATAAGTTCAAGGTCTTGCATTCAATCCCTGGTACCAAAAAAAAAAAATTATTCTAGGAATATTCAAAATTATGCAGTTACCTGGGGCCCTGTCCCTAGGGCTTCTGATTCAGCAGGACTAGATGGGGCCCAGGATTCTGTGTATCAACACTATATCCAAGGTAACAATGGAAAAACTGCTTTAAAGCCTCAGAAGCAGTGGACTGGCTCAGCTCAGATACTCAGTCAAAGGTTGGGTCTTTTTCTAGGCTCAGGGCTCCCATAGTTCCTCAGTATGTCTCTGTAAGAAGTCCAGATAAGCAGGGACCTTAAGCCAGGTACTCCACAGAGTGGTATCTCTCCTCCCTTCATTTGGGTCAAAACTTTTTTTGAGTAAAAATTAGCTGACAAAGGGTCACCCGCACAAACCACAAGGAGTGTCAGGAACAAGAAGGCAGAATAATCTAGGTATTTATCACCCCCTAAAGCAATCACCTTTCAACCCTGACACCTTTACCTGTCTCTTCAGGAAACCGCTGGACTTGGGGTCTGCAAAGGCAAAGAGCATTGTGTTAATGGTGTGTTGACATCCAGAAATCTCTCTCTTGCTTCCAGTCCAGCCCTGCAAAAGGAGACCCTAATGGAGGGCAAGTCTTCCTGCCCAGGACTTGTGCCCTTGTTGCTTGGCAACAAGGATTAAACTGTCCCCCCAATTCTGGAAACCACCAAAGCCACATTTGTGGCACAACTTGTAGCTTGTGACTGCCTGACATAGTTGGGGAAGTTCCCCTAATGTTCCAGACCCTGGGGCAGGAGGCAGGGCAGGCAGGAGTGCCCTCCTGCTCCCCAGGCACCATCTTCAAAAGACCCCTGGGACCAAGGGGACCACCACAGTTCAAACAGTGAGACAAAGCCAGTTCTGTGGCTTCCTTTTAAGGTTCAACTTGGGTTCAAAAGTTCTTGAGTTTCCTTGGCTAACCCTGAGCCCTAAGCTGGCCCACTCACTTGCGTGTGAAAATACTCCTCCTTTCTTCATTCTTGTTGATTTCTTGACTTAACTTACTGAGGATCCTACAAGAAAAAGAGATAGGCAATTTGGGGGGGGTACCAGGGATCTAACTGAGGACCTTGCACTTGTGAGGCAGACAGCAGCACCACTGAGCTAAATCCCTGGCACAAAAAGACAAAACTTTATTTTACCAGTCCTAGTTTTCCTATAGAGCCCTGAGTTTCCCTGGTCTATGTGACTGCAGAGCATATGGGCCAACTTTGGCCAACTTCATACCTTCAACTTCAAGGGGTCTCCTCACTTCTTGCCTCCTTGTTCCCCAGCATCAGACCTTCCACTGCCTTTGCTCCTACTCCAGCCCAAGCAGCCCTCTCTTCTCTGCTGTGTCTGAGACTTCAAAGTCTAACTTGGCTTTCCTCCTTAAAGACTTGTCAGTCCACAGCAGAATCCACATGCTTTTAAATGCTGAGCTTTAGGATCTGCAACACATTGTTGTTTAGTGGGTTGGGTTCTTATTCCTGGGGCTGAGTCCTTTGACTCGTGTTTGAACATCACAGTGATGATGTTGTTCCCAGGAATCCTCAAAACATCTCCTACACCTGAAGGACTCAGCTGCCCATTGCATCTTTCTTAGCACAACTTACAATGGATTTTTCTTTGTCCTATTACCACAATCTATTCTCCCTTCCCTGTTTCTACCTAGTGACATGGACGGATTCTCATAGAAACTTTGGCAAGTATTCTCAATAAAAGCACAGCCTGCAGAGGGAGAGACTCCCTGTTTATCAATATCCTTAGGCCAGTCTTGGCCAAGACCTTTGAAGATATCCTGTCCTAGGGTACATCCATGTCTGCACTATCAAATCACCAGGCTCCAGAACAGAGAGGGCCTAGGCCATCAAGACCACAGGCCAAGCATACCCTACATTCTAGATTCACCATCCTTTACAGATTGAATAATCTTCAGGATGTGAGACTCCAGCCTCCCTTAACACCCGTGCATGAGACCCAGAGAGGTCTCTCATTAGTAAATATGCTCTGTGTTCCCTACAATTTCAAGTAAGTGACCTGAGAGATGATGTGTTCCAATATTTTTTTTGTTTTACAGAAGAGGCGACAATGGTAAGGACAAAAGAAGAGACGGCAGGTTAACAACGAGGACCACCTAATCTCCCCAACACAAATATCAGTCCATAAACCAGCCTCTGTAACTTCCAAGCCAACATCCTTCCAATTCTGTTCATGCTGCAATCTCCTGGTGGGGGCACTGTTGTAGCTCTGTCCATCTATGAGAGTGACCCGTGACCTATATTTCTGCTACTTAATGACCAACTCAGGATGTCTCAGTTAACAAATGCAGTCCTGGCCTCCTTTGTCCCTTCCTGAGCTCCAGCTCCCCTACCTCCTCCCAGGTAACTGTTGCTTATAATCCTCCTACCTCATAGGAATGACAGGATAGACAAATGTGATGAATGCACAGAGGACCTCAGAGGTCAGAGGAGAGAGGGCAATGTGTAATCCTCCACAGTGATGTCCTTGTTGGAATTTCAGACTTCAGTGATCACCTAGAGGAAGGGGTTATTTAAACAGAGGTGGGTGCTTCCTGGTTGACTCCTGATCACACCATCAAGAAGCCTATACGATTATTTTTGGTTCTTTTAAAGGGGCATTGGGAGAAACTGATGGGCATGCTGAAGGTCTCCTATGGGGTGGTTGGGGGAACCCCAGGAGTACGCTGCATCCTGCACAGTTCTGGTGGTGTTGGCTGCAGCAGCCTCTTCCATTTGATCATCTGTTTACTCAACAAGGGGCTCTCTTCCTGCCAAGAACTCTGCTGAGCTCTCAAGGTGCATTAGTAAACAAAACAGACAGAAGATCTCTACATAGGGCTTGTAAAGACAGGCAGACAAAAAACAAGGAACAGTTAAGGAGATAAAATCCAAAGCTGGTATATACCATGTCTATACATATGCAGTGTGGGGGCACTGGGAAGGGGAAATTGAAGTAAGGGATAGGAGACAAGTGCAGTTTAAAACAATCTGAACTCAACAAAGAGGTGATATATCAGCAAAGCCTTGAGGAAGGTGGGGTGACCTCATCTCACACCCACACCCCATAGAGCCCGGCTGAGCTCTGGCAGGCTCACAGCGCTGCTGATGCTGCTGCTGCAGATCTTGAAAGGCCTCTTGCTTTCTGCGGTGGCACTTCTTACCAGGATCTCTAACAACCAGGCTGGGGCTGCTGGGGCTCTAACTGGGCAAGGAAGGAAATGCCAAACCACAGGCCCCACAGAGGAGCAGCAGAGAGCTGAGAGCAGGATGGGGCCCAGCTATCCAGCTTGCAGCAAAACTTAGGCTCCCAGCATCCTCCTGTTCTGATGGGCTGCTGAGAATGCCTTCCATGCCAGCAGGACCACTGTCGGGGCAGGTGGTGGGTGGCAGTGCTGACGGCAGAGCAGGGAGGTGTTTGCTGCCTCTGCGTGCAAACTTATAAAAGTTGCATCCCATCTCCAGAGGACCTGGTGACAGTGAGCGGCTGAAGATGACTCATCCCCTTCCTGTGCACAAACCCCAAGCTTCACTCCACACCAGACAGCCATAGACAGTGGTTCCCTCTGTACCCCACTTATGTGAGAGTTGCCTTGGCCATAGAAACTGGGCTCAAGACCTGTGGCAGGAAGTCAGGCCTTTACAGGAAAGTAGCATTCTATGATGACCTGGGTCCAGCCCAACTGCATCCCTAACTTGTTACCTATGGAGCCAGTCTGTCTTCATCATCGTAGTGTAAGGTCTTTCCTGATGACACATAGCATATCGATGGTGCAGGCACTGCAACTCTGATTGCCACGTCCTCCCACAAGGTCAATGCCCTCTGTGTAACGTCAGTTAGGCATTTGCCCTTCCTAAGCCCCGGCTTCTTCATTGGAGAGTTGAATCCAGTTAGGGAATTCCTCACTGGCCTGATCATCAGGATTACCTAGCATCACCTCTTACAAACGCTGATTACCAGGCCCACCATAGGTTTAACTGACAGAATCGGCAGAGAGAGGTCTGGTGATCAGGAACATCAACCAGCCCCAAGTAACTCTTAGGATCAAAAAATCTTGTGAAATAACTTCTATCATTGTCAGCATTGATGAAACTGGTTTAATAAAAAGGAAGAAGAGAGGGAGAAGGAACTTTATAATTTACAAAGGGAATGAAGTAGAGGAGGGAAAGGTCTCAATCTAGCTTGGATGTGTCACCTTAAGTCTTCCTTCCAGTGGTTGCTTCAGCACTACCAACTATGAACAAAGTCCTGCCAGCGGGTCTTGAAATCAAATTTTCAGATTGCACAAGCAGTACAAAAGAAAGAAAGAAAAACAGGAAGACTGAAGGGAAGGCAGGCAGAAGACAAGCAGGAAGGAAAGAAGGTAGAAAGGAGAACAGAAGAGAAACCATCAGAACCCATTGTAAGAGGAGGCATTGTCTCTCATCAAAATTTAGTTCTATTGCCAGTATCAACACATGTGTGCCTGTGGCTTATGACAGAAAGTGTATGTCTTGCTGTAGCTCATACTGGAAGAGCTTTTGCTCAGCTTTCCTCCTTTCCCTCCCATCTTGGCAGGCTTGACTCCCTGACTAGGATCTCAGACTGCCCACAGGTCCCTCTCAGGACAGCACATCCCCAAGCCCTGCATCTACGCCAACATGGTCCTATCAAGCAATGCTCCCCTTCAGCCTCAGCCCCTCCTCCCATTCCATGGGTTTTCACTCAGTCTTTCTGCTCTGCATTCCATCCTTTCTTGAAGGAACAAAATAGTCTCCCTTAAAAGACGTAAGAGAACAGCCTCTTTGAGCCAAGAGCCAAACATTTCAAATTCTTCTTCGTCAAGTAAGAGGCAGGGAGGAGCCAAGATGTCTGTCTTAAGACTCAGGAAGGGCCTTTGATTATCATCTGAGCCTCAGAGGAGCACCACGCACAGGTGGGAAATAATAAGCAAGGCCAGCACAGCTTCCCCACTTCTGCGTAGGTCTTTCATGCCTACAGTTTTACATGCAGGGTTTTACTTGTGCCTGAAAGCCGTGTGAGAGTCAAAAAATACAATCAACCCCATTTTGCCAAGAAGGAAGGTGAGGCACTGACAGGTTTTTGTGAAAGGCCACATGACCAGTGTCAATGTGGAGCTGAGCTGCCAAGTCAAGTTTTCTGAACTTGGGTGGAAGGAAACCAAGTGCCAGTTGCGGGGAAGCACCCTGGATGGAGAGGATCGTGGAAGGTAAAGAAGGATGGCCATCCGGGCAGGGATCAGCCAATAAGGGAAGAAGGAGATGGGTGTTGGAGATAGGTCTCACAATTGTTTCAGTTTTGTTGAGGCCTGGTTTATTCTTTCACGGATGTAAGAATGTTCCTTTCACTCTGCACCTTCTCCCCTTCCTCTACTCCGTCTTCTCTGTCTCAGATTAAAAAGGAACTACTAGTAGATGAGGCTGGAGGCCATCTCTGCTACTAGGAGACTCATAGCTTTATCAGGAAGAGAGGTAAAAGTTCTGCCTTACTTCTCTGGTGGAATCTGATTTTCCAAGCCTGATTTCACTCCTGGTGATGGGTATGGTGAGACTTAACAGGAGCGTTATCTAATATGTATCTACTGCCTACACCACCCACCGAAGCACCCACCTCTCCTCATTTCTTAGGCACACTGTGGATTTTAATATAAAATTATAACATTTTCTCCTTCAGTACACTCCAAATAGGCATCAGCAGACTTTCAACATGTATTTCATCAGACCATTCTCAGATAAATCATGAGGCTTAACCCAGGCCCTATAAATGGAGAGTGCATTGTTTTCTCTAAGAGCCCGCCATTGCTACAATATTGAGGATGTCTGGAGATCAGCCATGTCTTGACAAAGTGCCTGTATTTTCAGAGAGGGAGGGAGGGAAGGAGAGAGAGAGAGAGGGAGATTTCCTCACCAGAATCTGCCTTTTTTTTTTTCCAAAAACATTTAATACCAAATTTTTAAGCATTGCGGAAGGAAACAGATATTCAGAAGAGTACAGTCTTGTTTTAGTGTATTAA